GGTCTATTATAGCACAATGGGTGCTATGACTATGGAGAATTTAGGCTACACGATACTTGTTTTTTGATTAAAAGATAGCACACCTGTTTTATATACAGTAATTCCCTCTAAGATCATAGGGGAACCATAAATTTTGTGGCATCACCAGGTTTAATTCTTTTGTAACCTTTATCGATTAAGGACATGAAGGTTTCCCAATTGAGGCATTTCAACAGATTTTTAAATTAATTCACAGGCCATTTTGCAGAAGCATAAAACCCAATTGGCACCCAATTATCTAGTTTTATATGTTATTTAGTAAACCTTCAGATTCCCAATCAGGTCAAATTGTAAAACTTTTTCTCTTGGGTAGGAGCTCCTTTGAGGCCAGTGGGTGAATGCCTGTGTACCCTATTCATATTTATAAATGTATTCCTCCAGAAAGGATAAAACCAACATTGTCGTTGTTGCACGTCTCCTACAAGGTAATAGTTGTGTTGTGGGGTTTAAGAATTCTAGGTTTGGCTGGGCACGGTGGCTCACGCCTGTAATCCCAGCACTTTGGGAGGCCAAGGTGGGTGGATCACGAGGTCAGGAGATCGAGACCATCCTGGTTAACACGGTGAAACCCCGTCTCTAAAAAAATACAACAAAATTAGCCGGGCGTGGTGGCGGGCACCTGTAGACCCAGCTACTCAGGAGGCTGAGGCGAGAGAATGGCGTGAACCCAGGAGGTGGAGGTTGCAGTGAGCCAAGATCGCACTACTGCACTCCAGCCTGGGCAACAGAGCGAGACTCCATCTCAGGAAAATAATAATAATAATAATAATAATTCTAGGTTTATGTTTGAATTAACTCCTTTGCTGTGTCATATGGGTGCCATGGTTGTTTCTCCCCAAAGCAGGCTCACTGTGTACTGTTATCAGCTTGTCTGAGTATGATGAGAGAGAACACATTCATGCACATATTACATAAGTTGATTTATTATTTATAAAGGCATCAAAGAAGATGAGAAGTCTAAAATTCAATGTGATGTGGTCCCCTAAGGTTCAGAGAAGTTGCCTGGAAGGATGGAATTTTGACTGCATGTGCCCCACTTGCAACACAGTTAAGAGACTCCAGAAAATAGCCCAGCCCAGGTTTTACAGCCCAGGATCCCCTGACTCACTGAGCAAAGTGTTGAGACATTGTATTTCCCGTGAAGACTCTAAGTCTGGGCTGTTCTACCATTCTCTCCTGATTTCAGAATGCTGCATTCCCAGCACATTCTACACTTATTCTTGAGAACTGCAAGTAAGAAAGAGGGTAGAACTGGGCCAGTCCAATACAACTTGGAGGATAGTTCTCAATCCTTAACAGTGAGGCATCAGGATATTTGTTGTGATAGAAACATAGACAGCAGCAGTACAGAAATTTCAGTGTCCTAGTGGCCCATCTGCTATTAGGTTGCTGGACCAGAGCATGACACATGACTGCTTTTCTCTTCTATGAAAACTGCTTCAGACGACCTTTTAATTCTCATGCAAAGGAGCAGCATTTGATTTATCGTTAGTGTGGGCAATCTGTGTGGTTAAAGAAAACAGTTCAGGAGTCCGTCAACTGACACTGAAGACCACCCAATCCTCCAGTGAATGCCATTCAATCTTGCTGGTGTTAACAACATACAGTAAGGTCATTTTGACTAAGGCCATCTAGGTTGCAAGGTTAGGCCTTTGGCATGCTGATCAGTAGTGCTAAAAGAAGCCCATACACTAGATGGAGGTTCTGCAATGAAAGAGGCTAATGTCAAATGCTTCTTCCCCTTTTCTTGACTCATCGTGCCTGGACCATGAGGCACCATGGATGTGCACCTCATCAGAAGAATGCACATAAAAGCAGCAGCACAAGAAACACTCAAGGCCACTAGTCTTGCACAAGTCATCTTGTTAGACAATTAGGTGACATGCTTAATTCTCCCCAGCATGGGGACATTCTTCCTTTCTGCAACTTCACACACACAAAATCCCTGGCGCTGTCCCAAGTGTACAGTAATAATGTTCACATGGCTACTCCAAGCATCCAGTGATGGTAAGCAAACGAGATGCAGCTACCACAGAGCAATAGTCTGACTTTTGATAATCAGGAATGAAGAACCCAGTGGTGAAGGTGCTGGGTCACTGCCTCAATGTGGGGTACCTTGGAAACTGCCTGCCAAACACAGGTCAAGGTGGAACATACCTCCTGCTGGGGAATGGCCAGTTAACCAATCACATCTAGGAGTTGAGAGTTTTACTGTGGGACGAGGTGGCAAATGCTGATAACGCAAAGTGCTGTGTAGACCAAAGTGAAAGTCCATCATCAATTGCTGGTTCTAATTTGGGTGATTTCTGTTACATTATGGAACCAGTTAGACAAAAGCAGGTAGTTAAAGCTGAAAAGATATCATCAGTCATTGTTGGTTCATTCTGTTGGTAATGCCAGTTGTTTCCACAGTTTCATTGGTGACAGAAGAACTAGGACCCTAAGGCTACTGGGAAAAACACGTGACACCCATGACTGTACAGATAAGACTGAGAGCAGTTATCAGTTAGATATACTCATAGACAAAAGAGGGAGGGTACTGTCAATGAGGCTGATCCACACAGGACTTGCACTGGCGAGCAGATAGAACAAACAGGGTGTAAGGGGAATGCTCTGTAGTATCTAGAACATGAGATGCTTCTTGCTTCTCATGAGGATGCAAGTGGTTTGCTTAAATGAATATGTGGAATGGTAGGCAACTGAAATATGTTAGACTACAGACTGGTGAGAACAAAATAGTATAATGCCATAATCCTGTAATATACAATTTACTGTAGTGCTAATTACATATAATATAAACTAGTTATGCAAAATTCATACTTACAAAACTGTACTATACTACATATTATATAGCTATGTATACACATATAAGTATACATGTAGACATTCTATATATACTAGATGATGCTATACTATATGGTATACTAGGGCACACCAATTTGACTATAAATCCAAAAGGCCCCAACAATACACTAGAAAATTGAATGTATCAATATGGATTGAGTGTTTCTTATCTGAAATACTTGGGAACGGAAGTGCTTTGGATTTCAGACTTTAAAAATTCTTGGAATATTTGCAGAAAACTTTCTGGATGAGCATCCCTAATCCAAAAATCAAAATCCTCTAATGAGCATTTCTGTTGAGCATTAGGCTGGTGCTCAGTTTTTGACTTTGGAGCATTTCAGATTTGGTAGTTGGAATCTGGGCTTTACAGACGTTCAACCTGTAGATAAAATACTTATATTCCATGATGAAGACAGATTTCACCCCAATGACCGTATTTGTATCTGAAAGCCAGTTAATGTGATAGACTATTAATACAATGCCAGAAACCACAAATCATCTCAATAGATGCAGAAAAAAACATGTGATAAGAGTTCAATACTCCTTGACCATGAAACAATAAATAAAAAACACAAGAAAACTTCCTGAGCCTGTGTGAGAATATTTCTGAAAAATCCACAATATGCTTGATGGTAAGACTGAATGCTTTCACACTCAGATTAGACAAGCACACTGTCCAATCACAGTTCTCTCTTCTTAATTCAAAGTAAAAAGTAGGCCAGGTATGGTAGCTCATGTCAGTACCCCCAACATGTGGAGAGGCTGAGGCAGGAGGACAGCTTGAGGCCAGGAATTCAAGACCAGCCTAGACAATACAGCGAGATCCCATCTCTGTAAGAAATTTTAAAAATTATATAATTAGCTGGGCATGGTGACATGTGTCTGTAGCTCCAGCTACATAGGAGGCTAAGGTGGGAGAATCACTTGAGCCCAGGAGTTTGCAGCTGCAGTGAGCTATGACTATACCACTACACTTCAGCTTGGCTGACAGAGTGAGATCCTCTCTAAAAATAGAACATTTTTTAAAAAAGTGAACTATGCAAATAACAGCCAATAATGACAAAGAATAAAGGAAAGAAAATGAAAATAATACTGTACATGAGACTATATAAACTTCACATACATGCAAATTAATAACAATTCTTTATTAGCAAAGAAAATAGAAGAAAATCTTTATAACAAAAAAGTAGCTTTCCCATAAAAAGGCAGAATAAATATATAGATATATATATACACACACACATATATATAAAATGGGGGAGGAATAACCAAAACTTGCCACATAAGATCAGTAAGAAATTTCCAACAATTAACAAGAACTCATTTTTCAATGGTCCATTAATCAGAGAACAATTAAAACAACCACATGGAAATTAAAATTGCCAACTATCAGAAATACATTTCAACTCAGTCTAGGGATCCAATATATTTTTAAATAAATAGACAAAAATTATGTTAACTGATGAGAAACAAAACAAAACACAGCCTATTAAGCTCATGTACGATGGCTTATAAAGTATCTATGAAATTGTCAGCTCCATGATTCCTTGCAAAAAATTGAAAATTTAAAGTATAGACACCTTCTTTAACAATGAATCACTGATAAAAATATATTTGTAAGTGACTGGGAAAATTAAGTGCTTTAACACATTTTTGGTATTTTATGAGGTTCTTTCCCAGGATGAGTTCTTCTAAGTTTTAGAAGGGAACTAGGAAAATTGCAACATTCTAATCTTCCTTACATGTGTTGGATTTCTCTCTATTTTAAATTTTAAAAAAATTAAAAACTCTGTCGCCCAGGCTGGAGTGCAGTGGCACGATCTCGGCTCACAGAAACTTCTGCCTCCCTGATTCAAGTGATTCTCCTGCCTTAGCCTCCTGAGTAGCTGGGACTACAGGCGCGCGTCACCACGCCTGGCTAAGTTTTGTATTTTTAGTAGAGATGGGGTTTCATCATGTTGGTCAGGCTGATCTCGAACTCCTGACCTCGTGATGTGCCCACCTCGGCCTCCCAAAGTGCTGGGATTACAGGCGTGAGCCACTGCGCCCGGCCTGAGTTTTTAATTTTTTCACGTGCTCTAATGAAACTAGAGTAAATGAAAGCTTTAACACACTTCTTACATTCACAGAGGTGTTTTATTGTTGTTGTTGTTTTTTTACCACATATAAGCTCTTTTATGCTTTCGAAGGGAACTGGAACAACTGAAGGCTTTACCACATTTCTTACATTCATAGGGTTTTTCTCCGGTATGAGTCCTTTCATGGCTTCGAAGGGCACTGGAAGAAGTAAACGACTTACCACATTCCTTACATCCATAAGGTTTCACTCCAGTGTGAGTTCTTTCATGCTCGCATAGGTTACTAGAATATTTGAAGGCTTTACCACACTGTTTACATTCATAGGGCTTTTCTCCACTGTGAGTCCTTTCATGGACTCTGAGGACTCTGGAACATCTAAAGGCTTTGCCACATTTTATACATTCATAGGGTTTTTCTCCAGTATGCGTTCTTTCATGTATTCCCAAGTAAGTGGAACGACTGAAGGCTTTGCCACATTCTTTACATTCATAGGGTTTCTCTCCAGTGTGAGATCTTTCATGTTGGCGAAGAGAACTGGAAAAAGTGAATGATTTACCACATTTCTTACATGCATAGGGTTTCTCTCCAGTATGAGTTCTTTCATGTTCACGAAGATAACTTGAATAATTGAAGGCTTTATCACAATGTTTACATTTATATGTTTTCTCTCCAGTGTGAGTGCTCTGAGGCATTTGACATACACTAGGAAAATCAAAAGGCTTCTCATACACTGGACCCTTATAAGGCCCATTACTAGTGTGTGTTACCATGTGTCTGTCAACACTGGTGACAGAGATAAAGGCTTTCCCACATTGTTTGCATTGATATAACTTCTCTGGACATTCCTCACACTCAAATAGTTTGTTTCCAGTGTGAGACAGGATGTGCCTATGAAGGGCTGAATGACATATGAAGACTTTTCCACACACACTGCATTCACACGGTTTTACTCCAGTAGAAACTTTCTTATTCAGATTCAAATTTGAATCCTGGCTGAAGGTTTCTCCATATTGACTGCCTTCTTTAATTTCAAACAATCTCTCTACCACATGACTGCTGTAAAAATGATAAACACATCATTAATGGTACATTTATTCATGGTTTACATTGCTACTAATACCAGGGAAAATGCAAGTTTCCTGCCATGTCTAAATTGTTTTAAAGTAAATAAATTAATTACTGTTTAAGACATGGGCCCCCCATAGCTATTATCATTTTTTTTTTTTTTTTTTTTTTTTTTTTGAGACGGAGTCTCGCTCTCTCCCCCTGGCTGGAGTGTAGTGGCACGATCTCGGCTCACTGCAAGCTCCGCCTCCCGGGTTCCTGCCATGCCATTCTCCTGCCTCAGCCTCCCAAGTAGCTAGGACTACAGGCACCCGCCACCGCGCCCGGCTAATTTTTTGTATTTTTAGTAGAGGCGGGGTTTCCTGACCTTGTGATCCGCCTGCCTCGGCCTCCCAAAGTGCTGGGATTACAGGCGTGAGCCACCGCGCCCGGCCCAGCTATTATCATTATTATCACAACTGTGATCGTCACATGTACAGTATTTTAGTGGTGTTTCCAAGTAAAATATTCTGAAAATACTGAACATCCATGTTACATTCAGGTGTGTTTTTTGCTAAGACTTTTCTGGAAAAAAAACAAAAAACAAAAAAAATTTCTAGTGGTTCTTATTTGTTTTGTCTGTTTATTATTATTATTATCATTATTATTATTATTATTTTTGAGACAGAATCTTGCTCTTGCTCTGTTGCCCAGGCTGGAGTGCAATGGCGTGATCTCAGCTCACTGCAACCTCTGTCTCCCGACTCCAAGCAATTCTCCTGCCTCAGCCTCCTGAGTAGCTGGAATTACAGGCACGCACCACCACACCCAGCTAATTTTTGTATTTTTAGTAGAGACGGGGTTTCATCATATTGGTTAGGCTGGTCTCGAACTCCTGACCTCACGATCCACCCGCCTCAGCCTCCCAAAGTGCTGGGATTACAGGCGTGAGCCACCGCGCCCAGCTGTTTTGTCTGTTTTAAAAACTTATGACATGCTAAGATTCCCTCAAGGGGCATTTTTTGCTCTTGTGAATGCAAATTACCTTAGATTTCCCCCAGGATTTTTGAAGTCATCTTGGATATTCTGGTCTTCTGATTTGTTTCCTAAAATGTACATCCATAAGACTGTTACAAATGATTAGAAACTTGAAAAATTGCTAGATTCAAGGTTCACTATACACTGTGACCATGTCTAATTTTTTTCACCAAAGTACTCCCTTTTCACATGCCAAATCAGGAAACATTCATGACAAAGAAACACTTGTTTTTTCTTTTCTTTCTTTCCTTCTTTTTTTTTTTTTTTTTTGAGGCAGAGTCTTTCTTTGTTGGCCCGGCTGGAATGCAGTGGCTCAATCTCAGCTCACTGTAACCTCCACTTCCCGGGTTCCAGCAATTAACCTGTCTCAGCCTTCTAAGTAGCTGGGATTACAGGTGCTTGCTACCACGCCTGCTAATTTTTGTATTTTTTTAGTAGAGATGGGGTTTCGCCATGTTGGCCAGGCTGGTCTCGAACTCCCGACCTCAGGTGATCCGCCTACCTCGGCCTCCCAAAGTGCTGGGATTACAGGTGTGAGCCACCGCGCCCAGCCAAAACACTTGTTTTCTAATCAACTACATGAAAAAGTGTTATTCTTACCTACGGAAGCCAGGTTCCTAAAGATTTCTTGCATCACATCTCTGTAGAGATTCTTCTGAGAAGGATCCAGCAAAGCCCACTCCTCCTGGGTAAAGGCCACAGCCACATCTTCAAATGACACTGAATCCTAGAATATCACACATATGCGGAGAGGAGGATGGCTTAGACAGACATGAAGAATCTATATTCATCTCATAAAATCGTAACATAATTCTGTAGACTTCAAACATTTCTTCCATGACTTGGTCATCAGAACTTTACTCTCTGTCTGCACTTACTGCTTCCCACTCAACATTCTTCATGCTAAAATGAACTATTCAGAAAGTCAACAGCACAGTAGGAACACCTTTCTCACTGGCAGGTGGAGGGAATAAACTGTGCCGTAAGAAATGAGGTCACCCCTAATTTCTACGTGTAGATTTTATCTTGAGGGCCTCTTATAAAAAAGTCATGCTATCTGTTGCGTATAACAGTTAGTGTTAAGTCTTAAGACTACATATCCTTAGAAATACCTGCTCACAAAGTCTGACCTTTTGGTGTGAGAAAATAAGATGTTTTTGAGGGATCTCATCACCCTATGTGAACAATATGTAAACAATCTTATGCAAACAATATATTTATTATTCGCTGAACTCCAGCTTTGTTTTGTTTCTGAAAGCCTACTACTTTACTCCATTCTTGCAGTGGTACCTAGGGTATCAGCTCTGGAAAACACTCTGAGCATTAAGTCTCTAACGAGCATTCTTGGTAAACAATATTTCTCATATGCTGTTATAACTTGTTAATTGGAGAAATGAGGCATCAACGTGATTATAATAAGAAAATATTTGGGCCGGGCACGGTGGCTCACGCCCGTAATCCCCGTACTTTGGGAGGCCGAAGCAGGCAGATCACGAGGTCAGGAGATCCAGACCATCCTGGCTAACATGGTGAAACCCCATCTCTACTAAAAATACAAAAAAATTAGCCGGGCGTGGTGGCGGCGCCTGTAGTCCCAGCTACTCGGGAGGCTGAGGCAGGAGAATGGCGTGAACCCGGGAGGTGGAGCTTGCAGTGAGCTGAGATCGCGCCCCTGCACTCCAGCCTGGGCAACAGAGCGAGACTCTGTCTCAAAAAAAAAAAAAAAAAAAAAAAGAAAATATTTGGAAGCTTGCAAGTAGTTTACTCCAGACCAAATTAAATCTAGTTGTAAATAAGACTGATAATTTATCTTTAATAACACAAAACAATTTTAAAATTTCTATCAGATAACAACAAAGTGCAATGGAGTAAGCAGAAAGATAGTACATGTGCTTAGAAGAAACTCAATGTCATCAAGATATCACCTCTTTCAAATAGCCTTAAAAAATTCCATCAATCCCCAAAACAGACACTTTATTAGCAACTGAAAACTACTTTTCCAAACCTAATAAAAAAAAGTCTAAGAATTGTTAAAGTCTTCCAAACAATAGGGCAATGGCTTCCTCACCATGTATCAGAAATTTTCAAACTATAATATTCAGGACGGCATAGTATTAACATGGAGATAAACAAATAGTCCAAAAAGGAAAAAAGTTTTAAATAAGCAGAAATTTTATATGTAAAGTTTATTGATGACAGAGCATTCCAGAACAGTGGAAGAAATCAAAAGCACTTTAGAGCAAACTGGTACTAACTGAAAAAGTACACTGCATTCCCCTCCATTCCATGAACAATAATCAATTTCTTTATTTCAAACGTGAAAGACAAAACTAAAATACTTGCAGACTTCAAAGGAAAATAGGAGTATTTTTGGACAGAAAAATGGGCAGAATTCATTTAAATAGAAAAAAAAATAAAGGAACTGACAAATTCACATATATTAATATTCAGGAAATTAAAAGGCAAAAAGCAGTGGGAAAAAACTGTAATACATGCTATATAAAAGAATTAGTATGAAGTGTAAAAATGAACATGATTGAAAAGTGAGAAAATAAGCAAAGCATACTTAAAAGAAGATGAAAGACCATCTTTTTTTTAAAAAGTCAACTTCCTTGGTAATGAGAAAATAGAAAATAGGTGCCTGACATTTGAAATTGACTAGAAGAAAAAAATCAACTCCATGTGACGACGGCCATGGCAAACGGGTTACTCAGGAAGAAAGGAGGAGTCAACTGATACTCTCCGCTGCTCTAATTTGAATTTACCACAATGTGTAGCCCATTAATTTTTCTAAAATGTCCAGAGAATTTACTGTGCATCTGCACTTGGAAATGTGGCATAAAATTATAGGAGCATTATTTTTCCAAAAAAGCAAAAAAACAAACAAACAAACAAACAAAAAACTTGAAAAAGCCCGAACATCAGAATCATTAGAATGCACGGCTGAATTCAATGGTCCACAGCCTCAGGCACTAGCATGTGTGCAACATAATGACACAAGGAAATCACCAAATAAACCTTTTTGTTTTAATTCCATTCATACTCATTTACAGAAAGTTCCAGTAAAGCAAAATAGAACTGAAAAATTACAGATGATAAAAATGCAAAAAAATAGCCAAAGAATCACAACAGTGGTCAACTAAGAGACAAGTCCAGGTGAAACTATCAGAAAACTCTTAAGGACTATACGGGGCCCAGTGAAGAATCAAAGTTGCTTCAACTATTATTACTAAAACTCCTGACAAATGTTTTACTCATTCTTACTATATTTCATAACAGAAAACTTAAAAATTAATTAAAATTTAAAAGAATGCAATTTTTCTGTTTCTTTGTCTTATAACATGGTGATCTGAGTTGTGATTTACAGATTTCACAGAAATAAGTAAATCGAGGAGCACAGCTCACAGTGCTAGCTGCTTAGTGAGCAGCTAAAGTACATACCAGATCCCAGGCGGCAGAGCCGATTAGCAAGTCATTGCAAGAGAAGACAGAACCACAGGGTGGTGGGCAATGTCTGAACATTCTGCTAGTGGTACTAAGTGCGATGGTCAAGTGCAGAGATGTGTTTGGAGAGGGTAGGAAATTATTACTCAGAAAATTGACCCTTGTGGATCCATCAGGTCAGGCCTTTCAAGATGGTTTGATATGGTTTGAATGAGGAAGAAAAGGAGCCAGGCCTGTGTTTTCTGTTGAAGGTAGGTGGAAAGCTAGGGTGAGAATTCAGTTTCAAGGTAAAAGATTTACATGGTTTCAATCTGCTGCCAAAACCCAGAGAGAGCACCCAGGCTTGTTTTTGAAAGGAGCTGGGCACATTCCTCAGCCCCGGGCTCAAAACACCCTGAGCCTAGCACAAACACATCCCATCCTCCCATCCCACCACCATATATCTCTCAAACTCCCTGAGCCCAGTATAAACACCACCTGGAAAGTCTCTGATAAGGGGACAGCCGTTCAAGGTTACTGAAAGTGCAGGAGCCAAAATAATTTCTTTGTTCCCCTACAACTTTCGGGCTATAAAAAGCAAACGCTCGCATTGTTCAGGGCCCTCTTGTATACTGTGTAAAGGAGGGACCAAGTTCGAACTTGTAGTAAAGATCCTTGCCGCTTGGCTTTGACTCTGGACTCTGGTGGTCTTCTTTGGGGAACAAACAGTCTGGGCATAACATCTGGGGGCCCGTCCGGGATTCCCCAAGCCCACCAGACCCCTGGTCAACGGATCTGCTAAGATCGATCTACTGATAGGTGAGCTGGCTCGTCTCCGTTTGTCTGTCTGTGTCTGAGTGTCTGTTCTGAATCTGAATCTGTGACTCGCGAGGTCTGACACTGAAGCTGGCACAGTCCTGGCGGACGCGCTATAGGACAGCCAGTGGAGACCGGTGGGAGACGTCCCCTGGCTCTCTTCTGATTTAAATTGCGATCTGAGTTGCCGGAGCGCGTTCGCGATCCGGGCAACAGCTGAATCTGACCCCGGTCCCCGGGTGCGCGCTCGCGGTCTGAATGGCCCCGGTCCCCGGGTGCGCGCTCGCTGTCTGAATGGCCCCGGTCCCCGGGTGCGCACTCGCTGTCTGAATGGCCCTGGTCCCCGGGTGCGCACTCGCTGTCTGAATGGCCCCGGTCCCCGGGTGCGCACTCGCTGTCTGAATGGCCCTGGTCCCCGGGTGCGCGCTCCCGGCCTGGTCCCCGGGCTCCCGGCTTCTGGCGCTCGCTTCCGGCGCCGCGCTCGCGGCCCCGGTCCCCGGGCTCCCAGCTTCCGGCGCCGCGCTCCCGGCCCCAGTCCCCGGGCTCCCAGCTTCCAGCGCAGATTTCCTTTACAGGGATTCTAACCCACATTCCTTTACAAAAAGAGACACAGAAAGTGAGACTGGGGAGAGGGAGAGATGAGTGAGAGAGAGACCATAAGAGACGGGAGAGGGAGAAAGTGAGAAGGGAAATCGGAAAGAGAAAGGGGAGGAAACGGCAGACGTGGAGAGTCAGAGAGAGAGACAGAAAGAAAAAGAGACTGAGTGTGAAGGAGAAAGGACACGGGATGACAGAGAGAAAGAGAGCGCGCGCGAATGAAAGAGCAGGAGAGAGCAGGCAGAGGGGAGGCAGCCGGCACTCACGGGCCTGCTGAAAGGGAAAGTAACTTTGAGGGGCCGGCGGGGCGGACGCAAAGGCGTACTTCGCGGACTAGCCCCCCCCAGCCGCCTGACTCCACGGTGGCTTTACCCCTTGGGAAATAGGACCCCCAGATGACACAGGAATCCCCAGGCTCCAGTACTGGCCATTCTCCACCAGTAATCTGTATAACTGGAAAACTCAGAGTGCTCGGTTTTCAGACAACCCCAAAGATCTACTGGCTTTACTGGATAGTGTCATGTTCACCCACCAGCCCACTTGGGACAATTGTCAGCAGCTCCTCCGAATCTTGTTTACCACGGAGGAGCGAGAGAAAATACAGGTAGAAGCTAGAAAGCTGGTCCCGGGGGACGACGGTCAACCGACTGCCAACCCCGACCTCATAAACACGACCTTTCCTCTGACCAGGCCGGCATGGGGACTACAACACGGCAGAAGGTAGGGGACGGCTACGCCTTTATCGCCAGACTCTAATGGCAGGTCTCCGGGCAGCTGCTCGCAAGCCCACTAATTTGGCTAAAGTATATTCTATTCTGCAAGAAAACACAGAGAGCCCAGCCACCTACTTAGAAAAATTAATGGAAGCTTTTAGACAGTACACCCCCATAG